TCGAATCCCTCGTCTGAACTGTGTGGGTCAAAGAGATGGTGGAGAGATTTTCGTTTAAGATCGAAAGGCAGGTACGTGATCAGGGATGTAAGAGAGTAAAGCGTGTCCGTGTCGGTTGTTGATCGTCAAAGGATTTCTTGGACTTCGTGTAATATTCCTTGGAACCTTTTTTTTTTTTTTTTTTTTTTTTTTTTCTTTCTTTCTTTTCCGCGAACCTCGACGAAAATTCGGCCATTACGGCGACCACTTCGCCCGTTAAAATTGGCGGCCACGTTAAAATTGGTTGGCTAGGCTCTATTACTTTGCGTCCGACGTATCATCACCATTTTGTGTGCCGTTCGATCGACAGTCGATTAAGTGACCTCTGGGTTGGCGGCTACTAGGCTGGCCCCTGGGCTAGATGAGGGCGAGCTTTGGGGGACAGCAACCGCCCGTAAAATGCCCGCTGGCGGCCTCCCGTTCCCGTTTGCGGCGGCCCTGGCGTTCTGCAGCCTAATTCGAGAAATGCATTCGTTCATGTAGATCGAATTAACCTCGTTAAACTATTGCGAATGTGCATACATGACACTGAATGATCAAGCACTCTGAGGAACACGTCAACTACGAAACAAACGAGCGCATCTAACTCGGTGAAACTGCAATTAACACTTTGCTCGATTGTATTGAAGTACTTTGCGTCATTATCGCGCAAATTAACGCAAAATTGTGTCCGTATTCTTCTCGAATACAAATGTAATTGTATTAATTATTAAATCGTTTCGTTCGAAAGTACTTCAATTTTTTCTTTTTTTCTTTTTTTTTTTTTTTTTTTTTTTTTTTTTTTTATTTTTTTTTTTTTTAATTGAACTACTCTACTACTAGGGTGAGCAAAGTGATAATTGAAGATAATATCTTCTCGTCTCTATGAGAAGCTCCGTAAATGATGGACCGTTGCATGGACTGGTTACTTCCGTTAAAAAACACGATTAAGACATATAAAACAGAAAACACAAAGCACCGGTTACATTCCGTATATAATAAACACAGAAGCTAATCAATATAATTCGTATCGTCGGAAACAATAGATTATTCGTTATTCGGAGGGGGGGGTCGTGAAACAGGGTGCACTGATCGTCCTGGTGAAAGCAAAAGAGCGAGTATCCTTTTAAAGAGATACAGGAGCGATAAACGAGCAGTGTTTGCCGCGCGACAATCGCCCTACTTGTTTTCGTTACTTACCGGTCGTGAATCGTCCCACGACAAGCTGCATTAGTACACACAGAAGAGGGAGACTTTAGAACTTTAGATGTCTTTCGTACGATAAGCCTTTCGTGTGCTAACAAGAAGTCTACATAACTAATAATGCGTGCACATCGTTGCAACAGGAAATGCAATTATGTGCACCGACTGATACTAACTTGATTTTCGATTGCCGCATAAACTGTTGGATCTTCCTTGCAGCTTGATGAGCAGCCTGCTGATGAACCGCTTGCTGCCTCGAGCTGGCCGAGCCAGGACGCGAGCGATAATTCCTGTAGTTACTTTGTATCACCAGAGCAGCTTTCGTAGCTTGTCTGCGAAATGGTAGAGAGAAAAAAAAAAAAAAAAAAAAAAAAAAAAGAAAAATAGATCATCGTGAAATAAGAAGTTGCAAAGACACGCTCTGGGGATGCGCTATGTATATATATATATATATATATTATATGGAAAAGAAGCAGGGGAGGGTAAGCTTTCATCTCAAACAAAAGTCGTATTAATTTAATGCCAGGTTAATTTTGTATTCGGAACACCGCGGCGGAGGTAAGGAACTTGCTCAAGTTTTCGAATTATTTACGATGCCAATTAAAAGTTCACCCCCCCTCGGTATACCCCCCGAGAGATAGATAGAACGAACTTTGGTGAAATCCGTCCGATTTAACTGGATCGTTAAATTGCCCCCCACGATGCTACCGTCTTCGTGTCCTCCCTCTTTATTAATTGCCGCTTATTAAAACTAACGGTTCCAAAGTTCGCGAAATAACAACTCGAGGATATAACGATTCGTGGCGACGAAGATCTCGAGTACGCTCGATCGTTATATTATTATTATTATTATTATTATTATTATTTTCAATCTGAAACGTCCCACGCTAAAACGTGACGAAACATAAATCCGGTCTGGTTGGTCCAGATAAATCGAGAAGATAAAACGAAGAGCAAATAATACACGGCCGCGGCGTGTTAAGCTAAAAACAGATTACCTAAAATAAGCGTACTGTTTATGTCGACGATAATATTGTTGGATGAGTACAGCAGCGTGTCTCTCCGCTTCCTCCTGCCTCTGTCGCCCCTTGTAATTTCTGTAGGCTTTTTGGATCATTCTAGCGGCGTGATAAAGCTCCCTTTGCTCCCGATCGGACAGAGTTAGCCTGCTCAGATCCGCTTCGTTCCCATCACCGTTTCCGTTACCACCACCTGTCACAGTCCCGCAAATCCCAGAGCCAATCACGTTACCGAACTTTCGATCTCCACCGGTCGAATAGTACTGGCCGTTATGGCCGTTATTGCCGTCAAGCTGCAACTGCAGCTGCAAGAATTCGCAGAAGTCGGCCGTCGTAGGCGGTGGAGATGGCGAGTCCGGTGTGAGACAGCTGCTAGACGGACTCGAAGGGCTAGCATCTGCGTCAGCATCCGAGACTGATGCCGCTCCTCCACTGCACTCGCGATACGAGTCGAACAATTCTCCAGAATCGAGCGGCTAGAAGAATTATCATCACAAAGCGATATGAATTTATCTCATCGACGAAATGAAATACGAATATGAATACGAAAACTATGGTAAAAATATTTTATTTGATTGTAATTGTAAAGAGACGATACGTGAAACGCTTACCATTTGTTCCATCAAAGCATCCTCCAGAGATGACAAGGGCGGTGCCGGGGGAGGTGGCGAGGAAGAAGACGGAGAATCACCTTCCGCTCTCTTGATCCTTTCCGGTAGCGCTGCTATAATTTGCTCAGCCAATGTCAGCACCCTCGCGTCTTCTTCCCCTATAAAAAGGAATCACCACCCTAGCCAAACTCGAAAAACGTGTTACAGGACCGCCGAAATCACAT